AAGGCACACAGGAGCCGCGTGGGGCTTAAGGCCCCACCGTGCTGACCACACCAGACAAGGTTGGGGCAGTGCACTCTCCTCTCCCCTGAGGAGCTGGGAAACACCAGCTCATGCTCGTACCAAAGCAAGAAATGAAGGCAGAGGGGCCTGAACAGGACGGGTCAGTAGAAACAGGCAGCATGGAGTGACATTCCCCTGGGCCAGGACCAGAGACCACTCCAGCAGGGTGTGGAGACCTGGACTCCAAGTGCAGCGGGGAGGACCTGAGCCAAAAAGGGACAGCTCTGGGGCCCACAGACGCTGGCCTTGGGTCCCAGGACCAGGCTGGTGAAAGCATCATGAGAAGGCCTGGGCAGGCCCCACTAGCTGCCCAGGGCACGGAGCCCTGGGCTCCCGCAGGTGAAGGGGGCAGGCATAGATGGGGCGGAGGCAGGCGTAGGTGTGGCGTAGCCACGATGGGTGGCAAACTATTAAGAACTGGGAGCCAGCTTCTGCGGACGCTTGAACACTTTCTAGCATTGCTCCTCCCTTTGGGCTGTGCGCATTCGCTGCCCCGGTTTAGAGTAGAAACAGCCCCGCAAACTCAAGCAGCGGCCGATGCATTCAAACCTGGGTTCCAGCTGCAGAGCAAGGCCAGGAGCAGAACACCACAGGCCAGAGGTGCCAGGGAGGCCGTGCAGAGTGCGAGTGTCCCGAGGAGGCCGCCAGGCCAGGGCAGTGGCACCCACAGAGGCTCGGGAGCATTCAGTCTCGCACAGATGTGGCTCCTTGCTACACCCACAGCCAGGCCTAGGGGTCCCAAAGGCCTCTCTCTTCCCCCACTCAGAAGATTGGCAAACCCAAGCCTGGATGTACCACCAGGTGGGACCCCCACCAGCTCCCCAGTGCTGAGTGCATTGTCCCTGTCGACCCATGGGCAGCTCAGCTGAGCAAACCCTTTCTCCATAGGCAAGAGAAAGGAGCAGGTGCAGCAGCCAGGGTTCCCCAGGGTAGGGGAAGCTGAGGAAAGGAAAAGACAAACCCTCTGGGGAAAGACGAAGCTTCAGCTCCTAGAGGACACAGTCTCTCCGAAGCAAAGACCTCAGCACTCTAGGTTTGGGGACCTGGGCTCCCACCTCTCCCATTCTTCAACAGCCCACCTGAGGGTCTGGACACGGGGTGAGGGGCGAGAGGAGGGCTTCACCTGGTGCTGGGGAAGTGCCAAGTCCTGATCTGTGCACCTGGCAAGCCAAGGAACAGACAGGGACAGGCCTGTGCAGATGCTGCTGGCTGGGTGGAGGCTGTCCCCAGGCCCTTCAGCAGCTTCTCACCAGGCCATCCTCCTGGCCACCGGTTCTGCACAAAGGGCTCCTTCCCCACAAAGCCCACAAAGCTGATCATCAGGAAAAAAAAAAAAAAAAAAAAAAAAAAAAAAAACCTGTTCATCAGGCCCCATACGGGATTGGCCCACCCAGCCTGCAACATCTGCTGCTGTTTATCATTTGTGGTTTCCTTCCCATTCCCATTCACTCTGGACCCCAGCACTTGGCACATAGTAGATGCTCAATAAACACGGTGGTTCATTGACCAGGCAATCTGCCTTATCCCATTTAATTCTTAGCACAGCAACACAGGGGCACAGAGTGAAGTAGCTGAGCCAAGGTTCTTGAGATGGAAAGGGAGCACTGAAACTGGAGCCTCAGTTGGACTCCAGGGCATGGAGTCCTGCTTTCCTGTAGGGCTCAGGAGGCACCCGCCGACTCACTTCACACCCCCAGCTTTCTCTGCACGACCTCTGAAGGAAAAGCCCCCGAGGAAGGAAGACAGAATCCCCCAAATTCCTGCTGCTGTGTCTCACTGCGTAACTCTGGTGATGTGACACCTGTGTGTGTCTGGACTTTTCTTCATATAAATAAAGCATTGACCTGGCTGCCAAGTGGCGGCAGCGGCTCCTCCGAATCGTCAGGGATGTCTGCAGAGTTACCTGCACAGGTAAGGCCAAGCCAGGAGACACCGGCATTTGCCACCCGGCGCCTCCCTCAGACAACTTCAGATCGTCAAAGTGGAGCTTTGCCAGAGCAGAGAACTCAGCAGAACCCCCGGTTTCGAATGTTCCCTCCTTTCTCCCCATCTCTGCAGTCTCAGGGGGAAACTGAGAGGGCCAGGGGGTCAGGTAACCAGAGGGACAAAGAGCAGAGATAATGAAGGAGCCGGCGTGCCTATCACCAGGACTCATGGCCAGGTGGTGTGGAAGAACACGGTGACAGAAAGCAATACATCCCTCATTTCCGGCCCCCAGGGGCCCCCAGGGCCCCCTCCTAGGAAGCAATACGGGTTTGTTTCCACCACCTTTGATGGAGAGGAGATGACACGGATCGCAGGGAGACAGATTCACGCTGGAAATTCCAGGATTTACCCAGTGCCTGGTACTTTAAGAGAAGGAATGGCGGCTGATGGCAGCGGCGCTGAAAGTGCTCTCAGCTGAGCCTGGTGCAACCCACCCGTGACAGCGCTGCTGGGTGTGCAGCCTGGGAGGCAAGCGAGAAGTTATCATGCTTTGCCTGGCACATGCTTGGGCAAACGATTCAGCTTCAACCAGGGCTCACAGTCCAGCTAGGAGCTGCCAGCGGGGTTCACAGCAAGGGGCAGAGGGCGGGGGCAGCTCAGGAGCAAGCAACAGACCTCCTGGAGACAGGGGGCCGGCGGGCGGGGGGGAGTTGGAGACCAGTCTGGCGCCTCCCTGTTTGCCCGGGAAAGGACATTTATGGAAGGAACTGAGGGGAGAATAATGCTCATCATGTTCTGCAGCGTTCCAGGCAGTGTTTACGTTCATTCGTTCCCTTCTCATTCCAGTCTATAAAGTAGATTTTATGATGCCTTCTTTAGAGACGAGGATGCCAGCTGGGAGAGCCAAGGGGCTTGCTCGTGGTTACAGGAAGTGGTGGAGCTGGTGGTCAGTCCGCCTCTCCCCCTTACAGGTGCCGCATGCCATGTCTCCCCCAGGGCCCCCCTGCAGGCTGCTTTCCTGGAGATCACCCCAACCTCAGCGTGTCCACTGTGAAAGGCTATCCTGCCCACAGTAACAGCCTGGCCTGCCACGCCCAACGTCCTCCTCCCACCCCTCCTGAAGCTATCCTCCACTTTTCACCTGCTTCCAAGAGAGCTGCTCCCGGGACACCTTTGGGAAGTTCTTAGGATGGACCTGCTTACTGTAGATCTGGTGATGACTCACTTTAAAAAGATTTCTTTTTTTAAAGGCAGGTCTTCGATACATTCTCATCTATTGGGCAGAAAAAGTGTGTGTGCATGTGCCTATGTGGTGTGCATGTCTGTGTGCTCGTGTGCACGTGTGTGTATGCATTTGTGTGCGTGTGTGTGAGTGGATGTGTGAGCATTGGAGCATGTGTGTGGATGTGTGTGAGTGTGCATGCTGGAGCAGTGACATATTCAAGGGAGGGCCACTCCTTCCTTTGGGGAGAAAGGAGGCTGTTACAGTCCCATGCAATTGCAGACTCCTGGTCCTGGAGTCAGAGACCTGGGTCTAGTTGTGCGTCTGCCCCTGCCCAGCTGCCCCGCACTGATGAAATACCGGGGTGACCACCTGTCCTTGAGGATGCTTCCTCCTCCCGGTTATCTGAGTCTCTCAAAGCCGGCTACAGTAGAGGAGGGCTGTACTTTCCATTTCACGGGAATCAAGCTGGGCACAGGGTGAGGGCGGCTTGTTGACTTAAATCTACTGATTCAGCCGGCTAAGGGCACATCTGGGAACAGGAGAGACTCAAGCCTGGCCGGCACCTGCTCTGTGCCGGGGTATCTCCCCCTGGCCTCCTTCAGTGGGGTACTCCGTGGGCAGAAAGGTGAGAAGCAGCTGCACGGGCTTCCTGAAACGTCCAGCTGAGGTTTGAGGGATTTCCTCACAATGGCTTTTCCCTGGGGACTTTAGGGGGAGCTCATGAGAGCCCCTTCCAAGCCGGCGCGCTCATTGTCCCTCTCCGCCCGTCAGAGGGGGCCACGAACAAAGGGGGTCTATTCTGAACCCCTCTCCCGTGTAACTCAAGTCCGCTAGAAACACTGGACATTCGAGGGACTTCCTATCTCCGCACAGGAGGGGACAGCCGGACCCGCTGCCCCCCAGGCTCTCCGCGGCGACCCGGAGGTGCAGCGGCCCGGAGTCCCCCTCTGTAGTCGGAGCTACCCACCTGCGAGGGAGCAGCTCCCCGCTGCCGGCGCCCCCCGCACCTGCCCCCGCACGACAGGAAGCGGCTGCTGCTCGCCCCCTCCGCGGACCACGACCCAAGGGCTGCCCGGCGGGCCGATCCACCGGAAATTAAAGGCTTCATGTGCCAGCCCTTGAATGTAAAAACTCAGCCTAATCAGATCTTTAAAAAGAAAAGCTCTGCCTATGAAATGGAAACACTAGCCCGCCCCCCCCCAACCCCCAGGCGAGTCGCCCCTTTCCCCGGGGAGCCGGCGCGTGGGGACCCCCGCCCCCGACCAGAGCTGGCGGAGCGCACGGAGGCCGCAGCCAGAACCCGCAGACGCACGGACAGTCCCGCCCCGCCGCGCCCGGCCCCGGCGCTGTTCCCCGGGGGGAGGAGGGGGTGTCTGGGTGGGGGAGGGGGCTACCTTCTGAATGCGTCCATCGATGTCCAGGTAGATGGCCTTGGGCCGGTAGCTGGAGGAGCCGGATCCCATCCTGCGCCCGGCGGCTGCACTTGGACTTTTTACTGTACTTTCCCGACGCCAGCCGCCGCGGGAGGCGGGGGAGGGGAGCAGGGGAGGGGGCGGGAGGGGGCGGGCGGGGGGCGGCCCGCGGCGCTCAGCCAACCAGAGCCGCGCCGCCACCGGGCCCGGGACGCCCGGGAGCCGCCGCCGCGCGCCGCAGGGTCTCCTCCTCCGCTCGGCTCGCGCTCGGGCTCGGGCTCCGGCTCCGGCTCGCGCGCTCCTCCTCCCGGCCGCCCGCCCCTCCCCCCTCCCCCCTTCCCCCTCCCCCCTTCCCCCTCCCTCCCCAGTCTCTCCTCTCTCCCCTCCTCTTCACTCCCTTCACCTCCCTTCCCCCTCTTTCTTCTTCCCTTGACTCCAGCCCCCTGTCGGCCGCCTATCTCCCGATGCCCCCTGGATAGCTGTGCAGAGCCCTGAGCGACCCCTTCGGCCCGGAGCCGTCGGCTCCCCACGCTGTCCGTCACTCCTAAGCCAGCGCTGGGCTGAGCGAGGCAGCGGCGCTGTGGACCCCGCAGCCCCGCCGGGAAAACTCCCCTCGCTCCTCTGTCCTCGCTGCGACCGCCACCCTCATTTCATTTGAATAGAAAACGGGAAAAGTTCCTTCTTGTTCACCCACTGCTTTCCCAAGCCTCCTCCAGCTGCGCCCAGAGCTGAAATGGCGATTTTATTTCTGTCCTGTATGGGGCCGGACCGAGGATTACCCCGCCACAAGCTATCTGCTGGGTTCTGCATGTTCGTCCCCTACCCCCTTGTGTGAATTGCTACAGGGAGTGTGGGAAAGGCGGGAGGGAAAGGGGGCTATGGGCATCCTCTGGACCCGCAGAGCGCAGAAGGGGCTGCCTTGGCCGCCCCCAGTTCTCCTGGGCTCCTCCAGTGGGAATGGGGTTGGTGGCTGGGGGAGGAGGCTCAGATGCCGTGGTCCTGGCCCTGGGTGTATGTCGCCTTTGGAAGCAAGTATCAAAGCCAGCCGGAGCATGTGCTATTGTTTCGTTGGAAGTGAGTTCCAAGCCACCGCTTTCCATCTGTTGAGTGTCTGAGTGCTGCTTGTTGAGAGAGTCTGGTGCACACAGGCTCCTCCTTCCCGCTGGGGCCTGCTGGAGCCGGCCAGCCAGTGCCAGGGCCAGTGGTCACTTCCTCTCCCTTCCCTGGCCAGCCTGGTCTCCACCTGGTGGATGGTCACAGGCTTTACAGACACCCCAGGGCCACCTGGAGCCCTGGTGGCAGCTGGGATCCTGCGGAAGGTGAGGGCTCCCTGCCTGTTCGTGGGAGTGGCATCGTCCTGTGAGGTAAGTGGTTGCCCTCAGCCTTTGGCCAGTCCATCCTGTGTCACTTTATGTCTCCCACCTGCTTTCATGGCGGGGGGCGTGCTCCCAAAGAACAACAGCTTGGAACTCGATAGCCTGGCACCCCCTGCCCACAGCTCCAGTGGAGTCTGTGTAAGAGCTTGGGCACCATGAGCTGTGCTTTTCAAGTGACAGGGGTGAGAAGGGGACAGCCTGGAGGCCTTTGGGGTGGGGGGGCCCAGCTGGGTGGTTACAGTGGGACACCTGACTCGCCATGGGGATACTGTGTCCCGAGCTCATTGAAGTGAGCACTATTACTAGTAGTTCAATTTGTTGTCAAATGTTCCGGCGCTATTTGGGCTAATCCAGAGACTGTGCTGTTGGGGCCGCGTGTGCCGCCTGGCATGGAGTTCTTATCAGCAGATGGCTCGTTGGCTTGCCACTTAGTTATTCTCCATCCCTTATTGTCATCTGGCCTAGTCTTCTGTAACCATTTCCTCCAAGAGCCCCAGAAGGACGAGTGGCCACCCATGGGGGGTGGTTCTGCAGGGCAGTTCCCCGGTCTCAGAAGACTCTGTGTGCATCCAGCGCCAGTGCAGGCTGGCCCTAACACTGCCTGACTGATTCTGTGCTCAGAAGAATAATCGCATCTATCATTATTTTGCACTCTTAGGAGCTGGACTGGACTGCTGTATAGAAACTGGATCGATGGGGCTGCAGCAGCTGCCCAGAGAGGAACCCTTTCCTCTCCCAGATCCCCATGGAGCAGTGTGGTCTTCCGTTCATCAACAATCTCATTCCTGTGTGTTGGGTGCTGTTCTGGGCGCTGGGGATTCAGTAGTGAACAGAATAAGCAGAGATCCCTGGCCAGAGAAGCTGGCATTCTCTGGGGGAGACAGACACGATAGTATAAATAAATAGAATGTGTAGAGTGTTGCATAAAAATTAGGGCAAAGAAGAAAAATCCACAGTGAGACCCTATCTCTAAAAAAGAAAAATCCTGTGGGGAAGGGGAGATAGAACGTGCAGTGTGAAGGAGTTGGAATTTTAGAGAAAGTGGCCAGGCAAAAGGTCACGTAGGAGGAAGGACCTCATGGGCATTAGGAGCAAGAAGCCTGTGTGTATCAGAGGGAGGGACCTCTGGCACAGAAGCCGCCTCATGCAGGAGGCTGCGTGGCCAGAGTGGAGGGAGGGAGTGGGCTCTGGGGTACCGGAGTGGGCTGTGAGGTCAGAGAGGTGACGGGGCAACCCCACGTGGTCACATGAATGGCCTGAGCTCACTCTTCCTCCACTGCATGCCTTGCGGAAGGCAGTGCAGAGGGCTGTGGTCTGACGCGAGTTTTCACAGGTTCCTCTCGGCTGCTGGAGGAGGGTGCATGGAGGGGGCCGGGCAGGGAGGCCAGTGAGCAGCAGCTGCAGCCAGCTTTGCAAAGCGTGATAGGGCTTGAACCACGGTCAGGTGTGTTGGGGTCCTTCAGCGAAGCAGATCAGTAGTGAGGAGTTGGCTCACATGAGGACGGAGGCTGAGAAGTCCTGCCAGCTGCCTCCTGCAAGCCGGAGCCCCGGGAAAGCTGGTGGTATGGCTCCGGTGTGAGTCTGAGGGCCTGACACCCAAGGAGCTGACGGTGGGCACCCAGTCCCAGGGCAGAAGGCCAGTGTCCCAGCCGGGAGCTGACAGTGGGCACCCAGTCCTAGGGCAGAAGGCCAGTGTCCCAGCCAGGAGCTGACGGTGGGGACCCAGTCCCAGGGCAGGAGAAGGCCAGTGTCCCAGCCGGGAGCTGACGGTGGGCACCCAGTCCCAGGGCAGAAGGCCAGCGTCCCAGCCGGGAGCTGATGGTGTTGACCCAGTCCCAGGGCAGGAGAAGGCCAGCGTCCCAGCCGGGAGCTGATGGTGTTGACCCAGTCCCAGGGCAGAAGGCCAGTGTCCCAGCCAGGAGCTGATGGTGGGGACCCAGTCCCAGGGCAGGAGAAGGCCAGTGTCCCAGCCGGAGCTGATGGTGGGCACCCAGTCCCAGGGCAGGAGAAGGCCAGTGTCCCAGCCGGGAGCTGATGGTGGGGACCCAGTCCCAGGGCAGGAGAAGGCCAGTGTCCCAGCCGGGAGCTGATGGTGGGGACCCAGTCCCAGGGCAGGAGAAGGCCAGTGTCCCAGCCGGGAGCTGATGGTGGGGACCCAGTCCCAGGGCAGGAGAAGGCCAATGTCCCAGCCCAAGCAGGCAGGCAGGAAGAAAGAGGCAATTCCTCCTTCTCCTGCCGACTTGTTCTCTTCAGGCCTTCGAGGGGTTACATGATCCCATGCACACGGGAAGGCACCTGCTCGCCACAGTCCACCACTGCAAATGCTGGTCTCATCCAGAGGCACCTCACAGACTCCCCCAAAGACAGCACGTCCCCAGCTATTGGGTGTCCTGGGCTGGCCAGGTGGACACACAGACCTCACCTGTGCAGGTGGTGAGGAATAGTTGACTCTGCATCCAAGTTGGAGGTTGTGGGGTCTTCATTTGTGCCTGTTTCCTAGGCGGACGTTGTGCCTCTTCTCTGCCCTCCTTCCCCCGGCTCTGCCTGCAGTCATGTTCCTTGGTCCTGGACAGCCTTGGTGGGGAAGTTTCCAGAAGTGGCGCCTGCTCCATGCACCCCACATCAGCCCCAGGGGCTCCTGGTATCCTAAACCTGCATCCCTGCTCTTGGCCCGGCTGCCAGGAATGCTGCCAATGTCAGTTCCTCTGAATCAAGGTAAAAATGAAGGAAACCTCCTGCCTCTGCCAGGCAGGCCACGGACCAGGCTGGGGACCCTGGGTGGGGACCAGGCCAGGGACCAGGCTGGGGACCCTGGGTGGGGACCAGACCCGGGATAAGGCTGGGGACCCTGAGTGGGGACGAGGCTGGGGACCAGGCTGGGGACCAGGCTGGGGACCCTGGATGTGGTCGAATACCTCCTCAGCTCAGGCCTTGGTTCTTTGGGGAATGTGGTGACTGAGTTCACATATGCACGAGCGACGTTTCCAATTGTCTGAAAACTTCAGACAGAGTGTGAGATTCTGCCCGTGTGGGAGAAGGAGGCTGGAGATGGAGGAGATTCTGGAGGTGCCAAGCCCCAGGGCTCCCAAGAGCCAAGTGGGTCCAGCCTCTGCCTCCATCCTCTGCCCAGACTGCATCTTCTTCTGGTACCTTCCAGGGTGCACGCAGGCTCATTCCTGCATGCAGAGCTCTTTAATTCCCAAAAAAATCACACCAAAGGGGAGTTTCAAATTAGGGCATCAGAGCCAAATTGAAAATCAGAGGAGCTGAGCCCGGAAGAAGGGCCAAGACCACAGAGTGAGGAGCTGGTTGCTGGTCTCCAGGTGCCAGGCCAGCTTGCTGTCTCCAGCAAGAAAGGGCCAAGCAAAGCCACATGAGGAGAAGAGAAGGATCTGGCCTGTCCTTGAAGAGTGAGCACCCTCCCATGAGATTGGAATCCTGGGAAGCAAAGTCCGAGCACCCCGGAAAAGTCTAAAGGGGGTTCCCAGAGGCAGAAGAAGTTGTCCAGGCGGTGTGTCCTACCACAGCCAGCAGCTCCCAGCAGCCATTGGCCATGATCAGAGCCATGGTCAGTGGCAGCTACTGAACCAGTGCCCGTGGGCGTCATCTGCCTTTTCTCTCTTGGGTCTAACCAGCATTTCTCGTAACTATTCTGAAAAGACTCCAGTCACTTCCTCCACCACCTCTTCCGAGCTGGGGATGGTACACGGGGTTGGGGAAAAATCAATTCATCAAACAAGCAAAATGTATTCAGCACCTGCTTGCTGTAGACCAGGCACCGGGCAGGGCTTGTGAAAAGGAGTTTAAGCCCTCTGGACCCTGGAAACCTTATGGGAGAGAATTAAAATAAATCAGAGGGGCAGAGGTAAGAGCTTTACCTTCTGAAATGTGCACCACTGAACACCAAGAGGAATCAGCCTGTCTTGTGCGTGTATAATGCACCTGCCACGATGAGCTCTCCAGGATGACCACTGGGCGGGATGCACCAAGAATCAGAGGAAGGGGGTGACTTTGACCTGAAGAAGCTGTCATTCTCTGGGGAGACAGACAAGATGGGATCAATAAACAGACAGGCAGATGGTCTGCCCTTGACCTTCGTGTGAAAGAAGACGCTGGCACAAAGATCTCACTTCCGTGTCCGTCGTAGTAGTATTTGATTTACATACTCTCCACCTGTTTCTTTTTATGGTCTTGGTAATTGCAAAATTATTACTAGCTGTAAATATTTCAAACAATGTGGTAGAAAAGGCAAAGTCCCTCTTCTAGTAGAGAAAATGGAGGCCAGGTGCGGTGGCTCACGCCTGTAATCCCAACACTTTGGGAGGCCGAGGCGGGCGGATCATGAGGTCAAGAGATTGAGACCATCCTGGTCAACATGGTGAAACCCCATCTCTACTCAAAATACAAAAATTAGCTGGGTGTGGTGGCATGCATCTGTAGTCCCAGCTACTCGAGAGGCTGAGGCAGGAGAATCGCTTGAACCCGGGAGGCAGAGGTTGCAGTGAGCCAAGATCGTGCCATTGCACTCCAGCCTGGGCAGCAAGAGTGAAACTCCACCTCAAAAAAAAAAAAAAAGAAAAAGAAAATGGAGACCCATCCCTTCTTACCATGGACCAGCAGGTCCCTGATGCCCGTGTGCTTCTGACTCCTGGCCAGCTTCTGGTGTTATGGGCGTTTGGATTTTCCCAATATGTTGTTGTTGTAAACAGTGTGAACAAACACCCACATCCATATCCTTTGTTGGTTGTGTTGCTGCTCTTTGGAGTTGATTTTTGGAAGTAAGATTTATGGGTAAAAGTTTTTTTGTTTTTAAGACGGAGTCTCACTCTGTTGCCCAGGTTGGAGTGCAATGGCACCATCTTGGCTCACTGCAACCCTCACCTCCCGGGTTCAAGTGATTCTCCTGCCTCAGCCTCCCGAGTAGCTGGGATTATAGGTATCTGCCACCATGCCCGGCTAATTTATGTATTTTTAGTAGGGACGGAGTTTCATCATGTTGTTCAGGCTGGTCTTGAACTCTTGACCTCAGGTGATCCTCCTGCTTGGCCTCCCAAAGTGCTGGGAGTGGCGTGAGCCACTGCGCCTGGCCAAAAGTGTGTTTTTTACACCTTTGTGTGCTGGTAAAAGCATATTTACATTTTTTTTTATTTTGCCAAATTGCCCTCCAAATTGGTTAGACCAATTTATTATACTCCCACGATCATAACACGAGAGGATCCTTTCACCACACTTTCAACAAAATAAGAGAGACTTAGTCTTGTTTATTTTTTCCAGTGTAGGGAGGGAAGGATCTTGTTTTGATTTTCATTTCTGTGTTTATAAGCGAGACAAGATGTTGCTTGTGTCTATTACCCGCTGCCTCAACAGTGAGTTTGTATTCTTTGCCCTTTTTTCCATTTTAACATCTTCTTATTGATTTTTACAAGCTCCTTCTATGTAAAGGATAGTAACCCATTGGCTGTTATGTATTTTGCAACTCTTTTCTCCAAGTCTGTGGCTTGTCTTTTAACTTTCCTCATGTAAGTAATCAAAACTGTGCCACTTTTCCTGTAGGTATTCTGGGTTTCTCGTCAGCCCAGAAAGGAGGCATCATTTATAATAGAAAATTAAAATGAAAAGAATAAGAAAGAAGTGACCTAGATTTCCCCAGGTTGGGAAAGGAAACTGTGGCATGCTGACAGAGGGGAGCACTGAGGACGGTGACTACGACGAGGGGACAGAGGCTGAGGGAGAGGTTTCTGCCACGTCTGGTGACTGCAGAGACGGCAGGGGCGTTTGCACGCTAGCCGCCTGTCCATGTGCACCCACGGCCCACTTGTTGAGCGCATGCCACCTGCTGGGCCTGGCCATCCACCCGCGCACAGAGCCTCCCCGCTCACCGAGCTTGCACACCAGCGTCAGGCTTTGTGAAATCCAGCAGAGCTGAAACGATTTGGGATATGAAGTGTTTAGAGTGGTGGGATCCTAGGCTTTAAAAAAAAATTTATTTCCAAAAAATTTGAGCGGTGAGGTTATTTTTACCACAAACTGAGAGAAAGGGGAAGTGAAAGGGATAGAAAATTAGCCAGGACAAAGCAGCATCCTCCGTTTCTCAGAAGTGGCTGGATAGGAAAGAACAGATCCGTGTAGATGCGAAGTGGTGCTCTGGCCTTCTGGGGCTGGGCAAGTACTTGTCATTTTGCGGTTGTGGTGTGGAGTTGTGGCGCTTCATGAGGGGGCATTTGCTGGCCGCTCTGACTCCCTGCTTGTGGACAGCAAGTGCCTCTGTGGGAAGCTGGCGGGTCAGGGCCACCTTGCCTTCTCTTTTGGTGCATTTTGGTGGCCTCTGGGTCTCTGGCTTCCCCCTCCCTCTCCATCCTTTCCTCCTGCACTTCCTCAGGGATCTTTCTCTTGTGCTCATCCGTCCCTGTCATGTCCCTGCTTGGCCTCATTGGGGACTAGCCTCCCAGGGTGGCACATGTGGGCTTCTCATGGCCTCTGGGATGGTCCGCCTGGACTTCCCATGCACCCCCCAGGGTGGCCTGCCTGGGCTTCCTGTGGCCCCCCCCAGGGTGGCATGCCTGGGCTTCTTCAGGACCCCTGGGGGGGTGGCACACCTGGATTTCCCTGGTCCCCTGGGGTAGCATGTCTGGGCTTCCTATGGCCCCCAGGGTGGCCTGCCTGGGCTTTTTCAGGACCCCTGGGTGGGTGGCATGCCTGCCTCTGTTGTCTGGTCCCTGTAGCTTTTGTCCCCACTCCTGAAGGCACCAGATACTCTGCTGTCACTTTCCTGACTTTGCACAGTGTCTCACTGGAGAAGAATGTCCCTCCGTTTCTCCACCCCTTGGTCACCTTATTCTTTAAGATTTGTTACGGTGTCATCTACACGGTCACGTCTTCCTTGAATCCCTGGATCCCTGGAGCAGACCCAGGAGCTCCTCCCCAGGTCCTTGAGACCTCCAGCATGCCTCGGTGGTGCCTGCTGTGTGGCCCTGGACAGCCTGTGTCTCCTCCCCAAGCCGCAGATTTTTCATTTATCAAATGAGGATGACAACGAGCAGCCTGAAAGCTGGGGATTAACTGGGAGGATGGGAGTGTGCCTGCAAATCCCTCAGCCTGGGGCCTCCCAGGAGGCTGCCGTACAGCTGTCCCCAAGGCTTGCACCCTGTGCGCTGCAACAATGCTGGTCCTCCCCACTCTATAATGAACTTGCTGAGGATAAGGACCGAGGGAGGCTCCTGGGGGCCTCTCTGGCAGGGGCAGGCCCCACACCTGGAGCAGAGTGGACAGGCAGTGTTCCATCAGTGAGTGACTTTATGCAACCCTGCTCCTTCTGTACAAAGCTCATCTGTCTCTGACTTCATTAATATTAAAAACAATACTAAAAGCCAACTCTGCACCCCTCACCCCCTTGGGCTAAAACAGCTTTCCTGAACTGGAGAGGTGCTGCCTCATGCAGACCCCAGGAGGCCTCTGTCCCCAGCCACGGGCCTGTGACTCTCTTGTCGCCTATGCCCACTGGAGCTGGGGCCCCAGACGCACGAGACGCGCACACGGCGGCCACAGGCCCCAAAGGCAGTTGCTGGGCTCTGCTGTAGCACGTGACCTTCTCGGCATGAGCTGGGGATGGCGCGGCTGGGAAGATAACCTTGTTTTGGTCACGAGGTTCTGCCATCAGCATGGCCATCTGAGCCAGACTGCTCTGTGTGCCAGGACGGTCTCTAAGGTGGGAGTCCCCCCTGTCCCCTTTGCACAGCTGAACGTCTCTTCACGAGGAGCGTGGCCCACCTGCAACTCATCTCCCACCTTCTTTCTCATTCAGATTTCTGGAGCACTGACTGGTTTTCAATTCACACTTCTTTCCAGTGACCTGGGCTGTTCTCTGGGCCAGCCCACTCCTTATGAGCCAGTGTCTGAGTGTGACTGACAGGCACCCTGGGTGGGGCTTTGAGGCCCTTCAGGTGCAATAGGACCCTACCTCTCGAGCTCGTTGTGGTTTATAGGGCTGCATTTTTTTGTGGGAAGACCAAGGAACGATGTGTGGGGAACTGGAAGAGGGTCCGAGCAGGCCAGGCTGGGGCGAGCTGGGGGCCTGGATGCTTCGGCCACAGTAGCCTGGAGGTCAATCCTTAGCCCCCCGCAGGCACTCTCAGCTCGCCAGCCAGCTGGCGTTTCTGTAAGAATCTCATTTCCTCCAGCCACAGAAAGCTCCTTGGTGGTAAATGAGCTCCTGTGAGAAGCCAAACCGAAAGGCTGGGCCTTTCCGTGTGGACCTCTCAGGCCAGCCCCAGCTGGGAGAGCGGTGGCGTCTGAGTCTCTCTTTTCAGCATTCCCGGCCTCCGGGGGCTTCCCAAGGTGACCATGTGAGCAGCTGCAGATTCTAAGTGAGGGTCAAGGCTGATCCAAGAAGCCAAATGACCCCTCTGCTCAGGCCTGACTCCAAATTGAGTCAGCCATCAAAAGTGCAAGAAACTGCAAACTGATGATGTCATTTCCAGAAATAGGACTTGGAATCCTAATTGTCCTCAGACCTGAGCTCCATTGTCCCTAACAGCATAGACCCATAGGTCCTGTCATCCCACTCCGTAGCAAGCTGTGTAAAGAAGAGGGCTGCGTCCTGCTTATTTTGAGTGACTTGCACAGTACTTGTCACATTCCTTTAGAAATAGACTGAATGCTAGTTTTAGGTGCAAGAGCTTGTATTTATTTTAGTGAAAAACTGTGGCCATGCTTTTTCAGATTAATTTCTTTCTTTCTTCTTTTTTTTTGAGACCGAGTCTCGCACTGTAGCCCAGCCTGGAGTGCAGTGGCACGATCTCAGCTCACTGCAACCTCCACCTCTAAGGTCCTTCCTCAGCAATTCTCCTGCCTCAGCCTCTGGAGTAGCTGGGATTACAGGCACACGCCACCATGGCCAGCTAATTTTTGTATTTTTAGTAGAGATGGGATTTCACCATGTTGGCCAGGCTGGTCTTCAACTCCTGACCTTGTGATCTGCCCACCTCGGCCTCTCAAAGTGCTGGGATTACAGGAATGAGCCACCACACTCAGCCTCTGATTAATTTCTTAAGGACCGCCTGCTCCCATGAGCAGGAAGCCACCTGCTGGAGGCCCTCTCACTCCTACCTGTCCGAAACACCAGGTGTTTGCTCAGGTCAGAGGGAGTCTCTGACCCCTTCACACAGGGAAAGCACAGGGCTCCTGCCAGCCCATTTCTTCTATTGCTTCCTGAAAACACAAGCAAACAGACCCAAAGCGCCCCTCCCCAAGCGTGTGTAAGATAATATTTCGCAGATTGCAGGATGATAGAAAACTGAACTCTTGGCTGGGCTCAGTGGCTCACGCCTGTAATCCCAGCACTTTGGGAGGCCAAGGTGGGTGGATCACCTGAGGTCAGGAGTTCGAGACCAGCCTGGCCAACATGATGAGACCCCCCCCACGTCTCTACTAAAAATACAAAAATTAGCTGGACATGGTGGTGCACGCCTGTAATCACAGCTGCATGGGAGGCTGAGGCAGGAGAATTGCTTGAACCTGGGAGGCAGAGGTTGCAGTGAGCCGAGATCACACCATTGCACTCCAGCCTGGGCTACAGGGTAAGACTCTGTCTAAAAAAAAAAGAAAACCAAGTTCTTAACAGGTAGGAAAATTCTGTTCCTTTATTTTTCTTAGCAGTGGAGCCCTTACTGGCATTTTCTTATTTGAGTAATTTGGGTCTGAGAGCCCCGTGGAGTGAGGAACACAAAGTGCCTTCACCTGGACACGGCTTTAGGGCGCAGGGTCTCTGGCGGCCCAGCTGCGGGCGCCTCCCCTCAGAAGGGTCCCTCTCTGAGGTTGCTGCTGCCTGGGAATGGCTGTTGTCATGATGCCCAGCCTTGAGGGACCATTTCCTTCCTCTTCCTCTGTTCTCTCATTCCCTTTGGATTTGCTTTCTAAGCACCGTCTAACCTGCGGCCTGCGCAGTCATGTGCCTTCCCCTCCTCTGGTGTGCTCGGGGTGGGACAGGGGGCTCTGGAGTTCGGTCCTGGATGCTCCAGTCCTCGGGGGCAGGCCCATTCTCACCACCACCTCGACACTCTTAAATGAGGGAAAACACTTTTCTGGACCAGTTTAGACCAGGAGAGGCTGCACTGTTTCTGAATCGTCTATTGGAAAATTATGTGAGGTGGGAGACAGGGAAATCTCAAGGATTTGCCAAGGTGAGAAAGCATGAGGAGGAGACGACCTGTGCCTGGCCAGGACTCCACCAAGGCCAAGCTGAGTGAGGGGTCTTCCAGCCCTTGGGCCCCACCCAGATTCAGACAATAGCAAAAACATTCGGTGAGTCTGGATCAGGGTGAGGCATTGGCTCAGAAGCTGGGAGTCGGGAGCAGGAGTTGGGGCTACACGCGGCCGGGCCTTAGCTCTGAGGAGCTTAGTGGCAGACAGAGGAGGGAGGTATGTAAATGAGAGAAAATACCCTAGCCTCCGGCCCCCTAAACCTGCACAGCCACAGGACATGACGAATGCTATCTCCAGAAGAGGTGTGCAGAAAGCTCCATCAGGGACTTATATTTTGCCAGGAAGACAGCCTTGGAAGGGTGCTCATTCTGTGCCCACAGGGCAGCCCAGTGCACACTTTGGCTGTGGGGTGAGCAGGACTCATGAAGGCT